GTTCCGAAACATTATCCCTACTGCTCAAAAGCACCCCCCCCCCCCCTTTTTTTGTAAAATGAACGGTTTCCTCTCACATAGAAACTAGTTTCTATTTCCTTTAAGTGCCTCTTCTGCTTGAGAGATGGATTATCAGTAGTTTATCTCTTTAGGTCATGTAAAAGACAGAAGTATTTCAAAGAAATCACTTGTTTTCATAGTTAAGTTAAAGCTCAGCTTTGTGACCAGCAAGTGGATATTCTGCAGTGGGGCAGCATTGCCGAGACCGGGCTTGACTCAGGCTCAGCTCTCCGGCCCAGATTTGTCCAGCTAACTCCAGAGAAGTGTATGATGAACAGTTAGAGTACAGTAAAGCTAAAAATTGGCCATACACGGAAGTTTGCCTAAGCCGAAACACAACATTCAGGAACAAAACTGGACTGAAATGGAGAATGAATGAGGGTAAGGCCAGTCAAGAGCAACCAAAAAGAAGCCTTAAAGCAGAAGTCAGGAGGAGAAGCTTGAAATAGCTTACACCAGCAAACGTGACTTCGGGTTCAAGGGACTTTTTATCCTCTTTGCTTTAACTAAACTTGTCCAGTGTCGTAATCTTGGAAATTCTCTCACATTTTTACTCTCTTGCGCTCTATCAAGTGGTCACCAGAAAGAATGGGAAACAACACATGGAAAGAGGTTGAATACTACCAAGTATTTGCAAGTGTCTTCTGTGCACATTCAGAAGTTAGATGAATTACTCATTACAAACCTACAAGAGGTGTGGAAAACAGTAAAAAAAAAACAGCTGGTGATAGTCAGCTGGGCTACCGTTGCTGCAAAAAATGCTCCTCTGGCCTGTTATTGGACAGAGTCAAATGAGGCGATACCAGCCCTAGGGCAAAAAGGATTCTGTACCAAATGCTGAGGTTCTTATTAAACCCTAAATCTGTAAAGGTCAAAAAATTCTTTTTGTAATTTCCTGAAATGATAATAATAGAAGAAAAGGAGATTAATTATTAAACAAGAAAGTATTTCAAGCAGCAATTAGCACTCATGCTCTGCATGAAATTGAGCGAAGTCTTATATATGTAGACTAAGATAGTGAGAGACAAAAGAGACCAGTCTGTTACCAACCATCTCATGATGAAACTGAAAAAACCTCAGCAAATTAGGAGGATAGAAGTTATGTGAAAAGCTTTCCACTGGGTCAGGACATAACTGTTCCTCATGGTATCATGTTAAATCCCACTGGAGCCTGGACTACACTTTTGTCTACAGGAAACAAAGATAGTGAACCTGAAGATGGACAAACGCATAAGGTTTTGAAGTTTTATATTTTTAGAGTTATGTTAAGAATAAGTAGCACTTTTGACCCTACAAGTGTCAAGTATTCAGAACAATAGGACCACACAAGCTGGATGCCTGCTCAAAACAGGATCTTCTACAATAACCATATTAATAACTAACAAATACTTTTAATTTAGGAAATTCACACAGTTGTTTTCCTGCATGGACTTACATTCTAGAAGTAGAACATATCTCAAGTAACAAAATATATTGTCAGCCCTATTAATCTTATAGTTTCTCTTTTTCCTCCCACTTTAATTGTACACATACCTAAGCCTTGAGGACACTTTTCCCATTCTTGAAATCAGGTAACTTGCATTGGCCTTAGCAAATAAAAATCTTAAAAATGAGTAGGCTTGCATAGAAAGAGTGAATCAGAGTCAGTTAAATATTCCATCAAGAGAAAAAATGATGCCTTGAAGATCAGTTACTCAGAGTAAGAAAGTAATTGTCCATGGTGGAAAAAGAAATGCAATGTGAATAATAATCAAACTCCCTTGTTGAGATATCTGCTGCTGAATGCAGTAGGGTTTGGTTTTGCAGAGTTTGATCAAGGTTTACGTGAGAATGTGAGAATATCATTGCTTTACATTGTCTTTACACTTCCTATGACCCTGATTTAGAAGTTTAGACACCACACTTGTTCCTAGATATACATTGTGCATTCCATCTCCAAATCAGACACTCACAACTCCCAGTCTTCTTTCTACTTTTGCCAATCTTGCATGAACCTTTACACAAATTGATAAATAGATCTGGCTTACAGTGATCCAGAGAGGCAGCACTGATTTTCTTTGCAAAGGAATGTAGGAGCAGCAGTAGCAGTCCAGAGACTGGGGCTTACTGATTTGGAAGACTGGACAGGACTCTGTGATGACAGCTTAGAGGGTCAGGACATAATAGTTGTATATTAAGAGCATTATAAATTCAGAATATGAGAACAGCAGAACATAAGAACATCAGCTAATGCCAGGTGGTCTGCTTGGTCACCACGATGTTTTCCTCCTTTATAGTACAGTACTCCACATATTCCTCCTTCCCTTTTGACTGCCTTCAAGTCCAGTAGCACCAGTATCCTAAAAGCAAAGGCTACTACCTACCCCTGAGCCCCGTGATGTAATATCTTCCAAGGGACTACATACAGTCTTTCCACAAATAGGCATTTTTCTTTAATGCACGTCTCACCTATTCCAAATTTCCACCAACCGGTAGCAAAGGCAGCCAAAAAAATAAAAAAATCTTCTGCATTTATTTTTATTGGTGTCTGTTACCATCAAAATATTCTTGAGTGCATTCAGTGCAAGATTATCAAGAAAAGTGATATAATTTCCTATTAATTTCCCATAAAGAATGTCAAAATTAGAATAGGCTCTACAGAGATGAAGCTGGATAACACTTCAGACTTAGAGGTTTGTCGGATATAAGCCAAAGCAGTTCATGCAACCTGCCAGAAACAAGCTTGTGGCCTTTTCAGAAGCCTCTTTCAGAATCCTTTAGGATATCAAGGCCAAAGCTTGCAGTAAAATGAATTTATTTCACTCTACAAACTACATTGTTGTTTAATACTAACAGAACTGATCTCCTCAATAAATAAGGTACCTAGAAAACAATTAAAATATTGTGTGACAGCAGCATTACCTGGATGTAAGTGATAAAAATACTATTCTTCATTTACTCAGAATATTTATTGCAAGAAGGTGAAGTACAAAGTCCATGCAGTAGCACCTGATAAGCCTTTCTAGAGAGAGGTCTGACGCAACATCTGTAACATGCATTGATATGTTTAACAAATCCCAAATGTAAAGATAGTAACTTCATTTAAAATGGAAAACAAGACATTCCTTGTCTGGTAAACAAACTGACAACAGTCCTGCACTGATAATAGGCACAAACAAGCAAACTGTCTTCTTCTTCAGGGCAGCAACTCTACCCAGTCCCTCTTAGACTCACAGAACCTAACCTTACTTATACCTGCTTGTAATTATAAGTTCAAGACATTGCCCCTCTTCTAGCCTGAGGCTACAAAGTATGAAGAGTTGTGGTAGGGAATAGGGATTTTCCCTTGAAGTGGTTTGTGTCTGTCGCCTTTTACCCTTTTATTGCACCCTTTTGAGAAGAGTTTGGATGCAGCATCTCTATAACCCTCCCAGTAATTCACTGAGCACAGCTACTAACTAAAAAAACAGAATGAGATCTGAGGGTGCTGAATATCAAAAACCAGCATGCTAAGTATGAAAACAAACATGGTACCGATAACATATCTTCTTTCCTTTCTAGCCTTGTTGAGGGGAGTTAAGAACAGTTAGCAAATACCTCTACCTTACAAAGGTTAGTGTTTATCTGATAGTGTGGAGATGAACGTTTCCTGCAGTACGACCTATGCAGACACATTTATGTCACTGCTAATATTCAAAGGATCAGTAGCCTCCTGTGGTTGAAACCACGTTGATGCAGGCTGTCCGTCCTTGCACGCACATCTGTCTGCAGGCAGCTTTCAGTCTCCTCGGGTCCTTTGTATTACAGTCCACTACAGAACTGTAGGTATGTGAGCAAGTTCTCAGTTGCCATAATCATATGCAGCCCTGTACAAATAATTCACAAGCTATTTTTAAGTAATCAAAGTTGTATGCGTTATTCAATAAAACAAAATATTTGAAACTTCCCAGAAAAAAACAAACAAACAAACAAACAACAAACAAGGAGAAACTGGAATGTCCAGGGACCACATTAAGTACTTAAACCTCTAAATCATCAGCCCATACAGATAGAGGGTAACAATTAATTCTTCATCTTGCTTTATGTCCATGGTTTCTTCTTGCAGTAACACTCAAGTATATACAAAGAATGCAAACCTCCCTCTAACACATTGTAACGTTCACCTTGTGTTTACAAACAACAGCCCTAACTTAAGTCAAACTTTACACATGCTGAATCACTTAAAATTATGGAGGCATTCCTGAAATATGGCAATGTGCTTTCAAATTCACTTGGAAAAACTAAACAAGTTTTTGCTGCTTCAAAGCCCTTTCCCATGAAAATCAATTTTAAACATTTTCACAGCATGTGTCTAAACCAATCAGATTCCTCTAACATAGAATTCTAGTTTGAAGAGCAATTGGTGACTTGCAAATACCTTGTTGCATATGGAGCCTGAATACTGGCATATCTTGAATTACTTTTTACTATATTCCACCAAACCCATCAAATAAATTGTAAAATAAGAAATTTCAGAATGGAGGCATGTAGCAGGTGGATTTCATCAAGATAAAACTGTGATATTTGCAGCTCGTTTAATACAACCCAAAAAGTACTTCTGATTTTGAAGTACCAATCAGAAAGGAACAAGAATTCAAATTCTAGAGGGGATTTTTTTTTTTTGGTAACACAGACATACACAGACACACAAAACAAACCCAAAGTAATTCAGTCTCATCCGGTTTAACCTCAACCACGAGACACCGCTGTCTGTTTTCTTTCTCAAAAGACTCACGTCACTGTGCACTGAAAAAAGGGAACTTCCACAGTTTGTGGTGAGGATACATGATAAACAGATCTGTTCACACCAACTAGCAGGGCTGCCTTGCGTCAATAAAAGGCGGTAGCAGAGTCAGTGAACTGACATTTGGTGCTTGGAGGATTATCGTTGCAAAAGTGGCTTCACATTTAAGTTAAGTAAAATGCCAGGATTTTTTTTTCCCCACAACAACATGACTGAATTAAATGGAAAAGAAGACTGCCAGCTTGCAGAAGGCAAAATCCATAAAAAGAAGCAAAAGGCTTTGTAAGTACATATATCTTAATACAAACTCTAATATATTAGAAGTTAAAATAACACTAGAGGCTTGGAGATTAAGAATTAGCACCATGTTTCAGGCTAAATGACTGCGAAGCCTGCTCAAAGCTCAGGACTATAGCATCATTAAAAATGGCTTGAGCCGAAGCATACCAACGAATAGTTTCCCTTAAGTAATCGGGAGTAGAGTTTTGGATATGCTGGGAACCTCTTAGTCTTTTGAAAAAAAAAAAGTTACTTGGATATGTAACTTCCCAGACCTCAGTCACAGGATGGAACTGTCAGCCTCTGTTTAAAAGTTTTAAGAAATTTAAGTAGAATTGAAATGCAACTGCAATTTTAATGGATTACAAAAATGTCTATTCATTGGTTTCAGTGGTGCAGATCTCAAAAATTATTTGAAGTGCATGGTACCCCATATCGAATCTGGAATCAGGACTTCACACTCTAGAAATATCATGTAAGTACTAAGATACACAAAATATAAGTATAGCCAGATTACTATATAATAAACTATTTTATTAATTTCTAAACTACTTCTAGAACAACAAATACTGTGATAACACTTAGAATTTCCAAAATACAAGAAGTGAACATTAGGAAGTAGAAACTATTCATGAAGTTAAGAGGGTTTTTTCTTAGCAATGTCTGTATGTTTGTATCAGACAGTGAGGGAGAAGACACCTCAGTTAAATCTGTTTTCCTCAGAGGGCCACTGTATCCATTTTCTAAAGATTTACAAGAAATTATGTTTCACACTAAAGTGAAGAGCAGAGGAGTTACCATTCTTATTTCAGGAATACAGATTACAGATAGAAAATTATTTGGTCATAGTTACAGTAAAAGCTCATCTGTTTGGGAACAGAATTCAGGATAAGATCATAGTTCCTTGTTTTCACATCTCTGACTATTTGTCTCAGTGTGGGCTTGCCTCCAGGGTCTCAGATTATGAGAAGGTTGTAACTTTAATAAATACCTGTTACACATTCCTGGAATAGAATAATAAATTATAAAATCTGTTTCCTTTAAACACACAAATAAAATCACATGGTTTCTTGCCTAAAGTATTTTCTTTTTCTTGTCATTTTAGGCTTTCTGCAGAGGAGGTAATACAGTGGTCCCAGTCTTTGGAGAAGCTTTTGGCCAGCCAAAGTAAGTCTATTACTTCAGTATGACTTTGTTCTTATCCTGAGGACAAAATTTTCTCTAACCTCGCCGAAGTGGCAATGCTGTAGTATTCTGCAAACACTGCCAGAGAACAGCCAGTTGCATTTCAGTTATTTTTTTCCCTTCCATTTCCCACTCTCAGTATAGCAAATAAACCCCAAATAGTTGAATTCAATGCTTTTTGATCAGCCTTCTGTCATTGCATAACACATCAGTTTAATTTGGAATTTTCTCTCCACTTGTACCCTAAGACAATCCACTTTGGGAGGACTAGAATCTGTTAATGTATTTTGGTACCTACGACCTAGATCTAAAAATGCTGAATGTAATTAGGAAGACTCCCATCACCCTTAACATTAGAGTATCTGTAGGATGATGAAGAAGGGAAGAACTGTGTATTTGGGCAAGATTTTATAACAATGATTTCAATACAAGTCCTGCTATTTATTTTATCCTCCCTGGTCAAAAATATCATTATGATGTATTTGTGTTGGCTTTAGGTGGTCAAGGTATCTTTCGGGAGTTTCTGAAGTCAGAGTTCAGCGAGGAAAACATCGAGTTCTGGTTGGCTTGTGAGGATTACAAGAAAACCAAATCTGATTATTTACATAGCAAAGCAGAGAGGATTTATGAGGAGTTTGTTCAGTCAGATGCTATTAAACAGGTATGTACAAAGATAATCCATCTAGTGTTACAGTACAAGGATTATGGACAATCAGAAGATAGAAGTGTAGCTTCACTAAGATGCTCATACTTTCATTCAGTTATATAGGAAGAAGATACAGACACATGTTTTTTATGAGCATATTTGCATCATTACTGTCTTAGCTGTGAGATTATCAGATCTCACAGGCCAGCATTGAGAGCACCACGAGCAGAAGCTCAGCAGAGGCACCGGTGGCTCAGCACATGGTGCTGTTCTCTGAGTCAGCCCAGTTTGAATTAATGATGGTGTTTGGAGCCAGATACTTAGAGAGAGCTTTGCTAGTAGGAAAGCTATGGATTATTTCTTGTTTTTTAAAGTATGTGGACATTCTGGAGAATTAAATTTTATGTATGTTGATCATATTTCAAACTGGAGACTCATTATTCTACACAAGATTTCTCCTATTGTTTTAATTGGAGGTTTAATAGGAGGTTGTTCCTCTACTTACACAATTTTTGAGTTGCATTACTTTTGACTCCATAACAAACTGCATTTCTATATGAGTAGCAATTTTTTGTGTGTGACAGATATAATCCTTAGAATTCCCTCATTTTGCAGTTCTGATATTGAACTATCACACTAAGTTCTAAGGCTGCAAATTTGTTTATTGGCAAAACAACGTGATAGATATAGAAAGAGAGCACATTTTTAAGATGTCAATGGCATTTGTTTTTCATTCTCCAGATCAATATTGACCATCAAATGAGGGAAGCGACAGCCAAAAGGGCTCAAGACCCAACTCACACAAGTTTTGATGAAGCTCAGAAAACCGTGTACATCCTCATGGAAAGGGATTCATATCCCAGATTTTTGAAATCCAAAGCCTACCTGAACCTTTTGAACCAGCTGCAAACCAACACTTCAAAATGAAGAAAGAGCCAAGTAGAATCTGTGTCAAATATCCTGTGGAGAGATCCTTCGGAGTGGTTGGATCTCAGCAAGGAGAACCCCTGCCTTGGGAGGAGGGGTACAAAAAGATGCAAACAGCTCCACAGCCCAGAGAGCCCAGGATAAAAGCCAGTGAGACTGTTACAAGGGTAAGCACAGCTCAGGAGGAAAACCCGCACCTCCCACACACCATGGAGTCAAGGCAGGATATGGATACTATTTATTGCCTGAACTACACTATGAACATTGAACCAAGTCTTAGATCCCAAAGAACTGCTGATTATTAGGAAGTGCAAGACTACTGAACTGAGTGTTGGGAAGTTCAGAAGAAAAATAAGGATGACTGACAATTTTTTGCATAACAAGAAAATGCCCAGACAAGACTGATTAATGGCTTTTTAAAAAAATCTGTGAAGTGTTAATATGCATGACTTCAGCTCCATTGTCCTTTGTAAATATATCATAACTTGACATGTCTTAAAATGGATAAATTTTAAATTATCTAAGAATTACATAAGCTGTACTTTACTAAGTTTGTATTCAACAGGCAGGTATGTAGCATCTTTTCTGTTTAATTTATTGCAAAATAATAATAAGCTCTTCAATTAAATCTACTTAAAAATCAAGTTTTATGGTCATTTTACATCTTATTTTAAGTGATCTTTCTATTGTAATTACTGAAATATTGAAACACATAGTTCCCTTCCGTGCCACTATGCCACTGCTTCCTATCTCCTTATCCAAATACTAAATTTCCCCACACCACCTTTGCTCTTTTACCATTTTTACACAACTACAATTTTAGTTATCTGGGGTAGGTGATCCTGACCTACATAGACCCATCCTTACGATCTGTAAAAACAAGACAAAAAAAAAAAAAACCAACAAAAGGAGAAGCAGGTCTAAATTTCCGTCCTATTTTTCATGCTATTCCAGCAACCAGCACCTGAGTGAAATCTCAGATATAGAAACCATTTAATCACTGACCCCACAGTTCAATCTGCTTTGATACTGATGGTGTGTTGAGTACAATAGATCACCCATGCTTGCTTATATAGACATCTCTTGTGATACTAGTACTACTCAACCTAATCTTGGCAAGAACCAGACTCAAATTTACACCACCAATACTAGCATCAAAGGTCATTTGATTTCACTGCAAACATTGCTTTAAATTTACTCTGTAAAACACACAATATTATGAGTAGCCTATACCACTGTGGGTAGTGATGAGGACTAAAGTAAATTAAAAAAAAAAGTCGCAATTATGCTTGAACTATGTAATTATGAACACAGGCACTACCAAATCTGAAGTGTTTAATATCTTGTGACATTAGAGTTCATAATGAAAACAAATCAAAGTGTGCCCTGGTCTTGATGAGTTGCCATCAAGAGACACAGCTATCACACGGGTGACAATACAAGATTTTATCTCACTTTTGCAGATTTTCCATTTTCCAAAATAACATGAGCTTAGTCAGGCACACTCCATTATTCCATAGCAAATGGAGAAGCTGTAAACCCACAGACGTCACCTCATGGGGAGAGCAGTCTGTATTCATACTGCCACCCTTTGGAGACCTTCTGTGCTTTCTTGGAAGTCCCAATGTTCAGCATTAGAAGCAAAACGGCTGGAAGGAACATAGCTAAGTGGCAGTTGCTGTCAACTTCCACCATCCTCTACTGTTGCAGCTGGAATCCTCTGCAAATCACATCTTCCTCTTTTCAAGACTAGTAAATGCAGAAAAAAGAATCTGGTCTTTCAGTATTATCCTTTTGTTAAATATGTGTACCTGAGGAAGCCTCTGATTGCAAAACCTGAACACTCCTGAAAATATGTAAACCAGTCTCCAGCTGGCTCTCTCTTACATGAATTAATTTTCCACTAAGAATAAATCTTATTAATGTGAAGCAAGAATAACAACTATGCCTCCCACACAAGGGGCATCTTAATGTTTGCTCTGACACAGTTAACATGGACCATCACTGCATAGCTTCAACCTCCCAGAAGAGAGTGAGCTATGGAATACCAGCTACCCTCTAAACAGACACTACCTTCAAGTGACATTATTCTTTTGACTGTAAATACCTTAAATTAGTATGGGCCTAGCCTTCATTTACTGCAGTTTCACAATTTCACCATGATTTAGCCAAACACCTGTGTGAATTTCTGACTAAAATCATATTTCATTGTATGGTTAGTTAGTACTTTTTTTTTTTCTTTTTTTTTTTAATGGCTTGCTGCTATCAGAGAAGACTGCCAGAAGCAATTTCATCTACTGCTGGGGAGACTGCTGGTTGCAGCAGTGGGTGGGCATGTGTTTCCATCTCCGTGCAGGTCTCAGAGGTGGGTATAAATAAAAGGTGAAGGCAGAAACGGGAGTCGTGCCATGGTTTTGGGTGCTGCAGCAGCCACTGCTAGCTTAAAGAAATGTCCAGCATTGCTGCCTGTGCCCACTGCCCTGGGACTCTGCACCAGGCAGAGCAAACCTTTTCACTAAAGACTGAGTGCAACCACCGCAGCTTCTCAGGTATTCACAGGTGCTGCCTGGCACCCTGACCTCCTGCAAAGAGTGTCTGGATCTGCCCTAACAGGAAAGGGTGAGAAAGGGACACTATAACATGCTGGTTAGGCTATTTGTGTGCATGGGTGTGGGGAGGAGGAGGTGAATGGGAAATCACAACTGAACTTGATGTGGTGCGTGCACCTTGTAAATGAACCAAGGGTCACAGAGAAAGTGCCCGCGTCCTTAATCCCTTTGATGTGTGTGTTCTGCTGTTTTTCTGAGTCCAAAGAACCTCAACTTAGGCAGTCTTTCAAAAAAAAAAAAAAAAAAAAGAAAAAAAAAAAGAATTCACTGCGTATTAAGCATTGTATACTGCAGTATACTGCATTTTGAAAAAGAGATTTTGAAGAAATAATAAAAATACCTATCTCTGGACTATTTTAAAGCATGTAAATATTAAGTGTCTTAAAATACTGTAAAAATTGTTTCAGTTATACCATTGGACTATTACTTATAGCTTCTTCCTTTTATAAAGTAGATTAATATGGATGGTGCTATAAATTGCCGTAAAATACTTCCAGACCTCTTGGACCTTGTTTAAACAACCAGCTTTGTATAGCCCTGCTATAGCAACAGATGTATAACACTGGGCTTACAACAGCATCCCAGAGCCAGCTCTGGATTTCTGCTATGCTGTTTATTGCTTGGTGAAACATGGTCATGTTGCCAGGGACACTGGAGTGGGCTGGAATATCTCTGTAATTAACAACCTGGGTAATTGACCTTTGTCATTGTTTTCAGGTTCCTACTACAAAAAAAAAAAAAAGCCTGCCTAAGTTGTGATTTCCCATTCACCTCCTCCTCCTCCCCACACCCATGCACACAAATAGCCACAGCACTGCAGATTGGTTTCACAGCTGTGGGTTGTGCCCTGCCCAGCACAGCAGACTCTTCCAAAGCAGGACACGTTACACATCAAATATGGAAAGTGTACGTCCCTGGAAACTTCCCATACCCACAGGAGAAACTTGTGAACATAAGCTCTATTTACTATCTTGTCAATAAATTAGTGGGCAATTGAGGGAAAATGTCTTTTTTCACCATACGCTAAACCCAGTTATATTATCAGTTAACTGCTAAAACTTTCCAGAAGAATCAGGCTCTGATTGTTATCCAACACTTATTCAAATATTTAATATGTATGCCAAACAGCTTGTTTGATTTTTATTTTTTTTTAAACTACATTTAGTTTTCCCTTTTTGGAAAAAATATACCATAAGAGAATGGAAAATGGCTGTTCCATTCACAGTCTCTAAGAAAAAGAGTTGAATCAGATTGGCCACGAGCTACAGTTCAGTACAGAAAAACAGGATGCAGTACATGGAGAAGCTTTAAGATCTGACAGTAGTGACTCAGACTTTTCTTTAAGTGTTCTACCTTACCCTGAAGGAAACATTTTCATTGTTTGTCAGTGTTTCAGTATAAAAATCAATCATTGTACTGTCTTCGGGTACACTTTTGAAGTGAATTAACTTCTCCCTGTTGCAGAGAGAAGTTTTCTTTATAGGAGGACTCAAGAGTTCTGCGGACTGTGAATGTGAATATAGAAGACTAACGTCTCCATTTTGGAAAACTTTCTCTAAATGTATTCCCTAAGATAGACATTGTTAATATTATCCCAAATAGAACTAAAAATATGGTATAACATAGTATCATTCTCTCCTATATATTGAGAAGGACATCTATGAAAGTCTGTTAGTAGAGACACCCTATCATACACTGTGAGGCAGGAAGGAAACTAAAGCTGAAATGGTGATGAATAGTATAAATTCATCACCTTAGACCCTTAAGTGCCACCCGTCCCTGCCCACACTCTTAAGTAAAAGGCGTTCCAGCTGTCATCGCCTTTATGATTGTGAAATGAGTCTGAAAAGCAAAAATAGATGACAATAGATGGAAAAATTAGATGTTCTCATCTTCCATTCAGAGACATGGGTTGATTGTATCAGAGAGCGTAATATCTGTAAGTGAAGCTTTTTGAAATTAAGTCTTTAGTCATTAAACACAGGCAGAAATTGCAAAACAAGTTCTCACTTAATGCTAATTGGATTATTTAAATTTGTCTTGGATGCTCAGAAACAAAGTCAGTGAGGAGTTAAGGTTATCCCCTGGCTATGTTTGGTAAATATAGCCTCAAAGGTTTTAGTCACAAAAAGGAGATTTATATCTACCAAGAACCGATGTGCTTATTTTGGAAATAAACTAATTCCCTCCTTATTTCTCAAAGCAGCCCCAGAAAGTACCGTCTTGAAAGACCCCAAAGATGAGCAACATTGAGATTCTACTGAGCACTTCCCTTCAATTTCTTCAAACAGCCTAAGCATCACACAACCTTAAAACACTTACCTAAACTAGTTCAGTGACCAGCTTTCACATGGTCCCTTTACTAATAAAATTAAAAATAGCTTGAGTGAA